TCTTTCCAGAGTCTCCCGTCTTCCAGCTTCCTTCCCCCACCCCCTGGTCCCCAATTCTCTTCCTGTTCCTGGGAGGCAAGGACATCAGGGCCCCCTCCCCTCCCAAGAGTCCCTCAGCCTCAGACCTGTCCCCACAGGCTGCAGGGCACATTGCACCCCTCTAGCCACAGGGGCAGGTTCCTTGTGCCCATGGCTGCCTTGGGTAGGTTTTCAGGAACAGCTGCCAGCAGCTGAGATATAATGACTGCCTGGAGAGTCGTTAGGAGATAATTAATATTTGCAGCACAGAGCTGTGACTGCTAAGCCGCTCCCGCCCACAGAACTGGGGCCTCCAGCTCTTCCCGGCTGAGGGCCCCAGACCCTAAGGGCAGCACATCCTGAAGGCAAGAGGGGGACCCTGGAGGCAGCGGCTGCGGCATGGCCATTGGGTTCTGTCTCGGGAGGTTCCGTTTCCACCCAGCTGCTAGGGTTGGTGACCTCTGGAGGCTACCAGGCTGGACACAGCACCAAGAGTGGTCAACGAGGGCACCAGAGCCAGGGCTTAAGGTGGCCACAGCCCCTCCTTGCACCTGAGGCCAGCTGGTCTTTGGCGGTTGCCATGGTGATGGTCGTCCCCAGCAGCTGGGCAAGGACGTTGTAGCAGAAGCAGCAGCAGCAGCTGTGTGTGAGTGCACGAGAGAAACACGGTCCATGTCAGCTCCCGGCTCCCCTCCGGCTCTCCATCTGTGAGGGGCGAACATCTCAGCCACCCAGAGTCACCCCTGTTGGTGCTTATGTTAGAGACAGCTCCAGTCGGAGGGCTGGACTTTCGTCTGCCACTGGTCATTTAATTTGGTGTGGTTCGCACTGTGACTCAGCCAGAGCCTGGTCACTCTTCCAGGTTACATGCTTAGCAGCTGTGGGACCCTGCTAGACCATCACACTTTCCAGGCCTCAGTGGTGAGGTCTATAAAATGGGGCTAATCACACCCAGAGGGTTATGGTTAGGGTGGAATGAGACATGGTTTATAAACATGTAGTTCTGTTTGAGAATCGAAGGTTGTTGCTGCCAGATGGTGGATCTCAGAGGTTTAAGAGGGAAGGGACTTCTCCTTCTGTGGCATGGATTCACTTCATTTATTAAGTGTCTTCTGTATACCAGCCTGTGTTCCACTTGTGACATATATTCCTTCATCTGTTGATTCCTTCCAAGACACCAGCTGCCTCATCTCAATTAATTCTCACAGTGTGTAGGAAGGCCCTGTCATCCCCACTCTGCAGATAAGGACACCAAGGCTCAGAAGGTGACAAAAGGCTCAGGAGATCACAGCCCCATGGTTACACAATGAGAACATCACAGAGCCGGAGCTCTGCTCCCAAGCCTACCCTTTTCTCTCCACATCACAGTTCTAACTTGCCTGCGGTTTGCTAGGCAGACCTGCATCCAAATCCCAGCTCAACCGTGCCCTTGCTGTGTGACCTTGGCCAAATGAACTCTCTGAGATTCAGTTGCTTCTCTGTAGAATGAGGATAATAGCAAAATCTGCTTTATAGGCTACTGCATGGATTAAATCAGATGCGTGTTAGGTGTTTAGTATACAGTAAATGTCCACTAATGGCAACTATGATTTTGATTGTTATCATTATTGTTTTTCTCCCTGTGAGGGTTGGACCCCACGACCTCCAAGTTCCCAGCTTGGGCTCACATCCATGTGTGGAATGGAGTGCCTCTGATCTTTAATATTTTGGGGTTTGGGCTGGCTCCTGTAGCCAGGAGATGAGCCTTTTGGGAAGGATGATGGCAAGAGGGTCTGCCATTTCCAGATTCCCTCAGCCTGCTTTCTGATCATCTGCCTGTTCCTGCCACGCAGCATTAGGCCGCGTGTATGAGCATAGAGGGGGGCCGGGAGGGAAGGGGGGTGCCTTTCCCTGGGAGGCTGCCTTCTGTCGCTAGACAAACAAACACGCAGCACCCATGCTCGCTTGGAAATGGAGCGAGGCGTTAAATACAAGCGAACAGCGGAGGCCGAGGCGGAAGGCCAGCTTCGTTGGGCTTCCTCGGACTTAGCTGGCCGCAGCCGCCGGCAGCAGCTACTTAAGAAGCAGCTCACGTTCCCTGGTGCCTGCTGCCCGCAGCCCAGGCTGACCCAGCACAGCTTCGGAGAGAACTGGAGGTTTGCACGGGCTGCAGTGTTTGCCTGGCATCTGCCACAGTCTAACTGAAGGACAGTTAGGGACCTCTGGAGGTCATCAAGTTATCCCCCACTTCCAAGGGGTGTTTTCAGGCTGAGCAGTAGCCGCGGTCTGCCTCATGCTCACATGACCCCTCCAGCATGACTACTGCCCGCCACGACTCGGTACACACCATGGTACGGCCTTGGGAGGGACCTTGGCTGGAGAGGCAGGCCTGTGCCCACAGCCACTCTGCTACTTGCATGCTGTGTGACCCTGCACAAGTCACGTCACTTCTCTGAGCCTCCCAAACGAACCTCCCTCTGTGTAAAATGGCAAGTGTAATAGTATCTCCTTGTTGGCCAGTTACGAGGATTTAAAGACAAACACACATCCAGCCTGGCCAACATGGTGAGACCCCATGTCGGTGGGTGAGACCCACTAAAAATACAAAAATTAGCCAGACATGGTGGCATGCCTATAATCCAGCTACTCGGGAGGCTGAGGTGGGAGAATTGCTTGAACCCGGGAGGCAGAGGTTGCAGTGAGCAGAGATCGCACCACTGGACTCCAGCCTGGATGAGAGAGAGAGATCCTGTCTCACACACACACACACATGCACACACACATGCACACACACATGCATGCACACACGCACACACACGCACACGACAAACACACAGCATTCCTGGCACACAGATTGGTTGAACAGTGATGTCAAGATGGCCATGCTTTTTACTATGTGATCTTGCACGAGTGACCCAAACCTCACTTTCCAAACCTGACCAGTGAGGGTAATCACACCCCTGTCTTGAAGAGAGCAGGAAGATGGTGAGAGCAGCCAGTGTTGCTGAATCCATATTCATTTTACTCCTTTCCTCTCCTTGACAAGTAACATGGTAGCAATCATAATAACAGTAAATTCATAATCAGCCTGGGACACACAGTGAGACCCCCATCCCTACAAACGTTAGCCAGATGGGATGGCGCACTGCTGTAGTCCCAGCTACTCAGGAGGCTGAGGTGGGAGGATAGCTTGAACCCAGGAATTTGAGGCTGCAGTGAGCTATGACTGTAGCATTGCACTCCATCCTGGGCAACAGGGTGAGACCCTATCTCTAGTTAAAAAAAAATTCAAAAAATAACAATAATAGCTAACATTTTGGAATACTTATATGAATTTAAGCTGGTGTTATCCACTAGGTAGGCATTGTGTTGTGGCTCTTTATGTTAAAATGAAAACTGGCTGGGTGTGGTGGCTCACGCCTGTAATCCCGGCACTTTGGGAGGCTGAGGAGGGTGGATCACCTGAGGCCAGGAGCTTGAGACCCGCCTGGCCAACACGGTGAAACCTTGAAAAATTAGCTGGGCATGGTGATGGGTGCCTGTAGTCCCAGCTACTTGGGAGGCTGAGGCAGGAGAATCGTTTGAATCTGGGAGGTGGAGGTTGCTGTGAGCTGAGGTTGCACCATTACACTCCAGCCTGGATGACAGAGTGAGACTCCATCTCAAAATAAATAAATAAATAATAATTAAAATTAAACGTACAATTTCTCTATCACACGAAGCAGATTTCAAGTGCTCAAAAGCCACATGTGGCCAGTGCTGGTGAAACCAGCATGTCTCAAACTTCATGTACATAGGAGTCACCTGGGAATCCGGTTAAATGCAGATTCAGGTTTGGGAGATCTGAAGTGAAGCCCAAGACTGAATTCCTGAGGATCTTCCAAGGTCTGCGGACCACACTTTGAGTAGCACCCGTCTGGAACTGTGCTGCTCAGGATGGTGGTCAGTACTGAGCACTTGAAATGAAGTGAGTCCAAATTGAAATGTATGGGAAGAATAAAATGCACACTGGATTTCTAAGGCTTGGTATAAAAAAAGTAAAATATCTCATTAATACCTTTTAAAAATTGACTACACATTAAAACAACATTTTTAGACAGAATGGGTTGAAGAATTTTTATTAAAAATGTAATTTTACCTGTTTCTTTATACTTTTTAATATAGCAGTAGAAAGTTTCAAATTAACTATGTGTGACTCGCATATTTCTATTGGGCAGCATGAATCTAGGCCTAGTCTGCATGCTATTTATATATTCATGTCAGAGTCAGATGTAGACAGCCTTTTTTTTTTTTTAGATGAGTCACTCTTTGTTTTCCAGGCTGGAGGGTGGTGGCGAGATCTCGGCTCACTGCTACCTCCACCTCCTGGGTTCAAGCCACTCTTGTGCCTCAGTCTCCCAAGTAGCTGAGGTTACAGGCCTGTGCCACCACACCTGGCTAAAAAGATTTTTTGTATTTGTGTTTTCAGTAGAGACAGGGTTTCACCATGTTGGCCAGGCTGGTCTTGAACTCCTAACTTCAATTGATCCACCCACTTTGTCCTTCCAAAGTGCTGGGTTTATAGGCAGGAGCCACAGGGCCGGGACGGATGTATATAGTTTTAAGGAATGCATTTTCACCTTTGCCCTTCCTGGTTTTTAATTTTTTCTCCCCCTGCCTCTGAATTGTTTCTTGGGCATTTTTCACTCCAACCAGAGGGTACATTTTTTGGCAGGAGGGGCTGTGCCAGCCTGCCCCTTTGACTCACCATAGCACAGAATGTCGTCACCTCCACTTATTTCAATTGATGCTCCTGAAGAAACAGTATCTTTTTATTCCCTCCTGGAGCTCCCCTTTTCCCTATGCTTGGGCCCTGTGTCTTGAAGGGGGCTCACCTTCCTGAGCTCTGTGATTGATTATGTGATCCAGGTCTGGACAATCAGAGCATTCCATTCCATTCTCAGATTATTGATTGGTTAGGAGACAACCACATGACCTGAGCTTAGCCAATGAGAGGCAGTCCCTGAACTTTAGGGGAATTAACAGGAGATTTGGGCTGGACCTGAAAGATATAAAAGACATAAACCAAGGAGGTACTAGGCCACCCTGTGGAGGGAGTCTGAGGATGAAGCCTACTTCTACTGAGGACAAGAGAGCTGCCATGAGGTGGAAAGAGATGTGTGCCTGACAATAGCTGAGCTCTGGATCCAGCCTTCCGGATCACCTGCTGTCATCTGGCTTTTTCAGGGTGTGGAAGACAGATCAAGTCTAAAGTCTTAGGTGAAACTGCTAAGAAGAAGAGACCGTCTGTCAATCTTTTCATTTAATGGGAAAACACCAGGCAGTGTGGGAAGTGTCTCTATCTCTGGGTATTTGTGGTCTATGTGGTACTTGCCACTTTCCAAAAATGGCAACAGCCATATTTCCAATCCCACATGTTCTCCCCTAACCTCACCACTTCCCAAGCAAGAGATGGAGTCTATTTCCCCTCCCTTTAAGCCTGTGTAACTTTGTGATGACCTCAATGAATAGAATGAGGCAGAAATGACACTGCACTATTTTCAAGGTTAGGTCATAATAGCTAATAGGGCTTCCACCTGCTCTCTCCCTCTCTGTCTCACTCTTTTTCTCTCTCTCTTTCTCAGGACACTTGCTCTTGGAATGGAGCCGCCTTGTTGTGAGGAAGCCCAGTCCATGGGGAATGGCATATGTAGGTGTGCTGGCTGACAATCCAGTTGAGGTCCCAGGCAACAGCCGGCGTTGGCCACCAGACAGGTGAGTGACATGAGTGAACTGCCCTTCAGGTGACTCTAGCCCAGCCTTTGAGTCTTGTAGCTGATGCCAGTGAAACAGAGACAGGCTGTCCTCACCAAACTCTGTCCAAATTGCATATTCATGAGCAAAATAAGTGTTGCCATTGTTTCAAGCCACTTCATTCGACCAATAGATGTTCGCTATGCAGCAATAGATGAACCAAACAGGCATCTCCTATGCTGATTGCAACTAGATTTTTGCTATTTCATTGTGTCTTTTCTGAATGAGGAAGGGCGGAGGCTTCCCTGGCATAGCTTTTGTTTTCACCACTTGCTATACACAGTATTTCTTGTGTTTTAGTTTATTCCATCAGGGTGAGTTGATGAAGGGTAGGACTGATTGTCTCCATTTCACAGATGAGAAAACAGAGGCTCGGAAAGCTACAGAGCCTTACCCAGGGTGACTCAGTGGTGAAGGTAAGAGGGGATCTGGAAGCCACATCATTTCAGCCTTCTGTGGGTGCTCTGCCAAGTGAACCTCATGATTGGGTCTGGAGGGGACAATAAGGATCAGGGAATTCTTTTTTTTTAAAATTGAGGTGAAATTACCTAACAAAAGGAACAATTTTGAAGTGAACAATTCAGTGGTATCTAGTCATTCTCGGTTCCTCCTTTCCCCCAAGCCCTGGCAGCCACGGATCTGCTTTCTGACCCCTATGGATTTGCCTATTCTGGATATTTTATAGAAATGGAATCATATAATATGTGACCTTTATGTCTGGCTTCTTTCATTTACAATGTTTTCAAGGTTCATCCACTTGTCTCATGTATCAGAACTTCATTCCTTTTCATGGCTGAATAATATTCCATAGTGTGGCTAGACCACATTTTGTTTAATCCATTCATCTGTGAATGGATACCTAGGCTGTTTCCATCTTTTGGCCAGTGTGAGCAGTGCTGCTAAGAACATGCACACACACGTACTTGAGCACCTGTTTTAAATTCTTTTGTGTACATAGCAAGGAGTGGAACTGCTGGGTCATATGGTGACTTTATGTTTAACTTTTTGGGGAGCTGCCAAACTGTTTTCTCTAAGGCAGCGGATTCTCCCTTAGCTTCACGACCACAGTGAGTGAGCCAGTCTGAGCAATAAATGTATTGGGTCAAAGGGGAAAGAGAAGAAAGAGAGACAGTGTGAAAACCATATTGCATTCATTTGTTCAACAATTACTTGTTGAAGTTGATTCAACAGCAGGTGCGAAGGAAGTACAAGAAAGAAAAATGTTCTGCCGCCATGGAGATGTGAGATGATGCTCCGGCTGTAGTTGGAGAGAGACAATTTCAGTCACAGGTGCCATGAGGAGAATAAAGGGAGATTCCATGATAAACAGGGATCGGAGATGCTGTTTGGGGGGTTGTCAGCGAAGAACTGTCTTGGAGGCGACATTTAGACTAAGACTTGAAGGGTGAGATGGAGCCAGCTGTGAAGGCAGAGAGGATGGGACAAGAACAAAGGTCCGAGGCTGAGTGTCCTTAGCTTTCTTTGGTAGGCTCAAGTTCCAGCTCCATTACTAATTCCCCAAGGGATAGCCTCAGTTTCCTCGCCTTGAAAATGGACAGATGAAATATGAAATCAACCTAAGTACCCATCAATAGATGAATGGATAAAGAAAATGTGGTGGATATATACACGATAGAACATTAGCCTTCAAAAGGACAAAATCCTGCTCTTTGTAGCAGCGTGGACGGAACTGGAGGTCACTATGTTTCAGTGAAACAGGCCACGCTCACGAAGACAAATATTGCCTGCTGTCACTCATGTGGGCTAAAAATAGTGGATCTCATGAAGATAATAGATTGGAGGTTACAAGAGGCTGGGGAGGGTGGGGAGGAAGGAGGATGAAAACAGCTTGATTAATGGGTACAAATACATACTTAGATGGCAGAAATAAGACCCAGTGGTCAATAGAGCTGTAGGGTGGCTAGCGTTTAGATTAATTGATTGTACATTTCAAAATAGCTAGAAGAGAAGAATTCAAATGTTCCTGGAGTAAAGAAAAGAGAAATACTTATGGTGGTGGATACGCCAACGACCCTGATTTGATTATACAAATGGTCCACATGGACTGTAAAAATACATACAGCTATTATGTATCAATAAAAGTAGAAAATAATGATTACAAAATGGGCATCGTATCCAAAATCGACCCTACCTTCCTGGGCGGGGTAGAGACGATAATGCAGGGGAGATGACTGAGGCTCACAAAAGTGAAGATGCTTTCTCAAAATCGCAATTCAGTGAGAGGAGGGGCCAGGATTTGAACCCTGAGCTTTTGGAAATGTTCAGGATTAACCTGGTCTTACCAGTTGGGCGCGTGTTGGGGTTGGGGTCAGGGGCTGGTACAGCTGCGAGTTTGGGGAAACGGCCTCTGGGATGCTCCATGCTGTGAAGGAACACCACCTTCCTTCCTCTGAGGATACGGCGTGAGGGCATTTGTCTTCTTGCTTTCCAAGTGGGGGAGATGGGAATTGTGAGGTTTGCCAAACAGTGAGCCCAAGGTGGAGCCGAGCTCTCCTGGCTTCACTCATCATGCCAGCTTCCAGCTACCGCGGTCTTAGGGGGTGCTTGGTGCTGTGCTGAGCACTCTGGCATGCTGTGTTACTTCTAACACTCTCTGGGAGAGGTACTGTGATTATCCCCATCTTCCAGAGGAGATGACTGAGGCCCAGAGAAGTGAAGACACTTTCTCCAAGTCACAACAGTGAGGGGAGGGGCCAAGATTTGAACCCAGGCCCGCCTGCCTTTATATCCTGTGTTCTGAGTCTTGGGTTAAGTGTTGTGCTGCCTCGCATGGCCTCAACCGCAGGCTGGGCTCCGGGGATGCCATGGTCAGAGGAGGGGCTGCAGTCCCCAGAAAAGAGGGTGGCTCAGGAGCCCATAGGTACCCCAGCATGCAAACCCATGGGCACACACACACTCTGACACATGCATCCTCCAACTCAAATGGGTGGACATGCTTGGGAAAACCATGGAGAAAGTGAGGCCCACAGAGAGGGACCATGAAATCCTTGTCACTGCCGGGGCCACCAGCATGATCCAGACATGGAATTCTTCTCTCTCCCTCACTCTGTGTGTCTCACTCTCTGCAAAAAAGAGTCTTCACCAAGAGATGCGTTGGAAAAGGAAAGAAATGTGGTCAAGTATGTAGTCACGGCAGTGGGGCGAAGGAGATCCACGATGGGCACGTGTGTGAATGTGTTCAAGTGTGGGCATGAGTGCGAGTGTGTGAGAAAAGGCATCGGGGTGTGCAAGTGTCTTAGTGGTTGTGTGTGAACGAGTGTGAGTGGAGAGCGTGTCCTGGTGTATGTATGGTGTGTGCACGTGGATGTCGGCGGGTGCACAAGTGTGTATGTGAGTGTGTATGCGTTCTAGCATGAATGCTGTGAACATGTATGAGTGGTGTGTGTGTGCTGGACAAGGTTGGGGAGACTGAGACCTGCCTCGGGGGCAGGGGACAGAGGCTCCACAGGCTTCCTCCCCGACATGACTGGGGGACTCTGATTCCCAGGGAGACCTCTACTCTTGCTTTGGATGGGCATGAGGAGGTGAACGAAACTGCAGCCTCTCTTTCCAGAGCCCGAAATCTCATGACCTCTTTTTTCCCGGCCCTTCACTCCCTGCCTGGGTCCCGTCTCTCTGAGAGGAGTTCTCCAGCTGATCTGATGGACTGAGTGGCCCTTGGAAATAATAATGGTGGTAGCAATGGACACTCAGGAGCCTAAGTGCCAGGCACTGTTTTAAGTGCTGTATTCTGCTCCCAGCAACCCTAACAGGTAGTCACTAGTATCGTGCCCATTTTACAGACAAGGAAGCTGAGTCTATTTCAGGGCAGGGTCCTTGGGCTTCTTAACATAGGGGCAGGCGAACTTTTTTCTGAGGGGACGGATAGTAAATGCTTTAGGCTTTGTGGCCATAGCATGGGTCTTTGTCACAGCCGCTGCACTCTTCAGTGGTAACCACAACGCAGCCACGGAGATAAATGAACAGTGCTTGCTGGAGGGTTGTCGTGTACTGACCTCCAAGAGTGGTGAATGGTGGGATTTTAGGCACCACAGTAGATATGTTAGTGGGAGCTATTCATTCATTTGATCGCTAAGTCATTTATTGCATGCTGTGTGTCTGGCTCTGTGCTGTGGACAAGACAGACTCTGTTTCTCCCCAGTACACCCCATCTATTTGCTGGCAAGCCCCAGGCCTGTACTGGGGAGCCATAATCTCAGGGTACAAGCACTTAATCATGTGTTGTAAGCAGGGAAAGCTTCCTGGGGGGGGGGGTGACATCAAAACTGGTACCCAAAGGATAATTGGTTGAGGAAGACAGTGGGGTGGGGGTGGGGTTACAGCAAGCCTCCCCCACAGTAAGAATGGGGGAAAGGCAAGAGGTCAGACAGGGCTGGTGCGAAGTGCATTTGACCACATATCTGAGATGTGGGTGGGGGCTTGTAGTCTCTGGTGTGGGAATGGGGAGCCATGGAGGGATTAAGCGGGTAAGCAGCCGTTTCCCTGGCTTCTGAAGGGGCCTTCTCTGGCTTCCATCCCCAGGCCCTGTTCTCACCTGGCACATAGAACTTGACTGTGTAGCCGCTGGTTGAGAGCAGGGACCCTTCGTGTTTTCTGCCCTGCCGCCCCCTGTATCTAACATTTCCTGCCACAAGCTAAGCCTTCCTACACAGCAGCAGCTATTAATCTTCACGTTATGTGTGTGTGCATATGACATTTGTCCCTCTCCTGCATGAGACTGGCGGCTACAGGAGGGCAAACGTGCTGTCTGTTTTATTCACGTCTGTATCCCCAGTGCCCAGCACAGCTCTGGGTACAGACCGGGTGCTCAGTCAATATTTATTGAACCTGAGATTTTATATCCTTGGCTGAGTCCTGGCTGATCATGGGGTGAGAGCCTTTTACCTGGCCCCTTAGGAAACTTCCCTTCCCTTCCCCTCCTCTTGTCCCAGAAGTTAATTAAGTGCTCTGCCTCTGGAGAGTTAATCCCATCATCAGCTGCACCCCCACCCCCCAATATCAGCTGTGTGCTTACTTGTTTATGGTCCGTCAATTTCCACCCCCAATTAAGCTCTGGGACCTATCATCGTATGCACTGCCCACAGCCAACACATAATAGGTGCTCAATTAGCTTATGTTGAATGAATGACTTGACATCTCTGTTAATATCAACCTTGGCAAGGAAGAGAAGAAAGACTGAGAAAGTGTGATGGGAAGGGGTGATTTGGCAAGTTCACAAAGCAAGCTGGGGCTGGGCTATTCGCCGGGCAGCAGGGTGGCGTGGGAGAATGGAAGCACGCAGTGTCCCTCCTGCAGGGGTCATGGACACAGGCCTGTCGAGAGGCAGGGGCAGGGACACCATGGCGTTTGGCGTTTCTTCTCCAGGTGCAGCGAATCATGTTTGAGAGATGAAGCCACGCAGGGAGCCTTGCTTTCTGGCTGAGACCTTCCAAGCCAGCAGCCTCTGAGATCATCCAGGGTGGGTGTTTCAGTGTTTCTGACATCCTTGGCTCAGCCAGGCCATCTTGGTGACAGCTGCCTGGAGCTGGAGGAGAACAGGCCTCAATGTCCCCTATTATTGCTGGAACACTGAGTACCCCTGAAGTGGAGGGCAAGGCTGGCTCTGTCTGCGAGCGACAGGGCGCGGTAACTCAGCCACCTGGGACCCCAGCTGCTCAGGCCTGAGAGTGAGGTGCTGACGTCCTCCACCTCCCTTCCTGACGGGCACAGCCGCCTGCGCTGGTTCACCCTGCTGTCTTTACTGCCCCACCCGGCCATCTTAACTTCCTGCTTACCTGATGCCCTCATTATCCCAAAGGGTGGCTTGTGTGCCCTCACTGGCAAAGGTCTTTGTGACCCAGGCCCCCTCCAGCCCCTAGACCTCCCAAGTATCCTCTTCTTGGCTGCAATGAGCTTCCTTAGAGGCCAGCCAAGCCCAGCATTTTCTGAGACAGACCTGGGTCAAACCTGTGCCATGTGACTAGGCAAGTGACCTTCCCTCTCATCTGTTATAGAGGCTTGTCTCAGTGCCAATGTTCTGGGGTCGTTTTGCAGATTGTTTTAGGTCGGGATCTGGAGAAGAAAAGCCTGGGAGAGGGATGGGGTGTATAGGATTTATTTGGGGTGTGGGCTTGGAAGGAAATCCTCAAAGGGAGGAGAGACACAGGATAGGACCTGGGGAGGGGCTGAGCGAGGGGGTGGTTCCCTTCAAGAAATTGAAGCTCAGAGAGGCAGAGTGACTTACCCCACATCACGCAGCTAGTGAACAGAGAAGGATGTGTTGGAAACTGGGTTTCTTTGATGCCAAGTCTGTGCTTGGAGTCACCTCACTGCAGCTCAGTGACAGTCATCAATAATCATGTGATTGCCTGGGATTGAGTCAGGAGGAAATGTCAGGTGCAGGAGGGACCCAGTACCTTGCTGTGGGGTCTCTTTCACAGTTCAGTGTGCCTGCCCGTCAGCTGGTGCTGTAACGAAGCCTTCACTCCTGCGCTTTGCTTGGAGAATTGCCTTTAGATGCCTGGAGCTCCTTCCTGGAAGTGGCTTGGACTTGCATCTTCCTCCCCCAAATGCCTTGGGAGTGACCTGTAGCCATGTGGGGGTACAGAAGTTCTGTTCCCTTGCCTTGAAGTGGGACAGACTCTGAAGAGCAATTTAAACTCCAGAGCTTTCTGGGGATAAGCCTGGGTCAAGACCGCACCTGCAACCCCATCCTCGAGTAGCTTTTCTGCCTGCCCTGGTCCCCATCCCTTGGTCCCTTCTAGGTGTCACCTGAGAGCCTTCTCTCAATAAATCACTTGCATAAGAATTCTCTTCACAGGCTCTGCTTCTAGAGAAACTACCAAAACTTCCCAAAGACAGACAAACGTTTGGAAATGAACTGACCATGAGATAAACCCTTGGAAATGAACTGACCATGTAACCATAAATTGGGACTAAACACCCTGTTTTGATCAAGCATTTCCACGGTCTTCTCAACAGGCCAAGAAAATGTCTTGGAGATTCAGAAACAGCGGTCAGATGTTACTGACAATTGTTAGTAGGTCTAGGACAGGGCCTGGCATGGAGTAAGGTGTTTAATAAATATTTGCTGAGTGAAAAGCCTGAATGAGTAAACATTGCTGGTGCTGGGGAGGTGGGGGTTTCTGGAAAGAGAGAATGTAGAACAGCCTTCCTGGGGCGGATCCCCAGGAAACACGCAGGCTCAGGAACCAGGCTGGGCACATTGAAATGCGGGGTCAGGTGCTCAGATATTCATAGCTCCATCAGAGGCTTAGCCTAAGAGGCTGCAAGCCCCAGAGGAGTGCACAGACCCAGGAGGTAGTCGTGATCACAGCAAAGAATACAAGATCTTGTTAAACAGAAATCCCTCCTGGCAGATGGTCAGCTGGCTCCCGGGACCCAGACATGGGAAGGAAAGCCGTTTCCTACTGGGAATTCCAGAAGCCTTGAAACCAGGGGAGGACATTATGCCTTCATGACTTAAAACAACCATCATGATGATGATAAAAATGGCAAAGCAATTATCCAATGGTGGCTATAGCCAGGACTCGGCATGTAGGATGGTATAGAAGCCTCCCAATAACCCCTGCAAGATACACACTGCCATTCCCATTTCACAGATGAAGAAACCAAGGCTCAGTTAAGGAAAATGATGTGTCCAAGGTCACACTGCCAACAGGCGGTAGTTGAACCCAGGTAGCGTGACAGTAAAGCCTCAGCATTGTGGCAGGTGCTGATTTAAGAGGATAGTAGGGAAAGGGCTGGGTCCAACTGAGGCATAAAAATTATACAAATGGATGGTGAGTGGAGCTGGGAGGGGTACTGGGGGGCCGGGGGAGGTGGGGATGGTTACCGGATATGAAGAGAAAAATAGAAAGAACGAATAAGACCTAGTATTTGATATCATAACAAGGTGACCATAGTCAATACGACTTTAATTGTACGTTCGTTTGTGTTTGTTTTTGAGATGGAGTCTCTCCCGGTAGCCCAGGCTGAGGTGCACTGGTGCAATCTCTGCTCACTGCACCCTTCGTCTCCTGGGTTCAAGCAATTCTTCTGCCTCAGCTTCCCGAGCAGCTGGGACTACAGGCGCGTGCCACCACACCCAGGTAATTTTTTGTATTTTTAGTAGAGATGGGCTTTCACCATATTGTCCAGGCTGGTCTTGAACTGACCTCAAGTTACCCACCTGCCTGAACCTCTCAAAGTGCTGGGAGTACAAGTGTGAGCCACCATGCCCGACCTAACTGTACATTTTAAAATACTTAAAATAGTATAACTGGATTGTTTGTAACACAAAGAACAAATTGCCTGAGGGGACAGATGCCCCGTTCTCCATGATGTGCTTACTACGCATTGCAGGCCTGTATCAAAATATCTTGTATGCACCATAAATACAGCAACCTACTATGTACCTGCAACAATTAAAAATAGAAAAGTAAACAAAATTACAAAAATGTTGTAAACTCATAGAATATCTCTGGGTGGGTACAGAAGAGACTCATAGCGGTAGTTGCCATGAGTTGGACATGGAGGGAAGATTTTTATTCTAAAATTTTCCTAAATATTGAATAGTGAAGGGTTTATATTCCTAGTTGAAGTGTGGTGGGCTAGATCACAAAACTGGCCCCCATGAGGCATCCCTGTCCACATTCACACCCACCCTTTGCTGCCGATTTTGTGGTCCTTACCTGTTCTGACTCTGGGCACAGGGATGCAACTGGCTTTGACCAATGGGATGTTAATAAAAGTGACATGGGCAGAAGCCTGCAAATGACTTGTGCAATTAGGCTCGCTCTGACGCTGCCCTTCCGCAGGGCCATGAGGACACACTCAGGCTTACCTGCTGGGAGATGGAGGCTTGTGCAGCACAGCCAAACTGCCCTCGTCATCCCAGTGGAGGCCATCCCAGAGCAGCCATCAGCCAGCTGACCCAGACACATAAACAAGCCCAGTCATGACCAGCAGAGCTGCCTGGCCTGCTGTTCTGGTTTGGCTGTGTCCCCACCCAAATCTCATCTTGAATTATAGCTCCCGTAATCCCTACATGTCATGGGAGGGACCAGGTGGGAGGTAATTGAGTCATGGGGGCTGGTTTTCCTCGCTGTTCTCATGATAGTGAATAAGTGTCACAAGAACTGGTGGTTTTATAAAAGGGGCCATTCCCCTGCACTCCCTCTCTTGCCTACCACCCTGTAAAACGTGCCTTTGCACCTCTCTTGCCTTCCACCATGATTTCGAGGCCTCCCCAGCCATGTGGAACTGTGAGTCCATGGAACCTCTTTTTCTTTATAAATTACCCAGTCTTGGGTATGTCTTTATTATCAGCAGGAGAACAGACTAATACACCTGCTGACCACCACAACAGCAGTTTGGTTTTGTTTTAGAGGCAGGGTTTCATCTTGTCTCCCGGGCTGGAGTGCAGTGGTGCAATCAGCTCACTGCAGCCTTGACCTCCTAGGCTCCAGTGATTCTTCCACCTCAGCCTCTCCAGTAGCTGGAGCTACAGGACCATACCACCATGCACAGATATTTTAGCTTTTTAATTTTTTTGTAGAGGCAGGGTCTCAGTATGTTGTCAGCGTGGTCTCAAATGCCTGGCCCCAAGTGATCCTCCTGCTGTGGCCTCACAAAGTGCTGGGATTACAGGCATGAGTCACTGCACCTGGAAGATTTTGTGATTGTTTGTTACAGAGCATTACTGAGGCTATAGATAGCTAATATATGTAGGGGGGCATTGCACCTTCCAAGATAGCACGCACGCGCACACACACACACACACATGCACGCGCGCACACACACACACACACACAGGAGTTTATAAGACAGTTTCTGTCCTGTAGAAGATACTGAAATCTGGAGGCTCTCCCACTCCCTGCAAAAGTCTTTTCCATTCTGACTTTGGTGCTTTCAGTGAAGCCATTTCTTCAAAATCAAATCACTCATTCATTTCTTCAGATCCCACCTTCTTCAGCAAGCCCTCCGAACCTCCGCAGTCCTCAGCCCGGCTGCCAGGGTGATTTCACTAACGTGCAGCATTATTACAAAGAGCAGCTCCAGTGCAGTCAGTGCTGACCACCGGCCAGGCACTGTGCAAGCCCCGTCTCACAGAGTCATCACTACACCCTGTGAGAGAGGCGTGCCTAGCATATTCCTCCAGATGCAAATTAGAGACGGAGACCCAGAGAGAATAAGTCTGCTGCTCAAGGTCTCACAGCAAGCGAATTCCAGAAGCAGGATTCAACCCTGCAGCTGCCCAGCTGTGCTCCTTGCACCCACCCTCATGACTTTCTCCCCTCCATGTTGAACTGTGGGCTGAAGGGAGCGGTCCTTTGATTAGATCTGAGTCAAGGGCAGGGAGGATAACACTGTCATTGGGTCACCCTGGCTTTGAAAAGTGCAATTTCCCCTCTAGTCCTCAGAACAGCCCTGTGAGGCAGGGAAATGGGGAAACAAAGACCACCTTTGAGGAATACACTGACTTGCCTAAGGTCACATGACAAGTCAGAGTGGGGACTAGAATCTGGGAGTCTCTTCTCTCCCTCTCTGTCCAACACTCATCAATCATGTATATACTGCACAACGTGGAGGTCTTTGTATTTGCTCACCCTTCCTGCCTCTGTGCCTGTGCTCAGCGTCTCCCCTCTCAGTGTGCCCTTCACTGCAGAGCAGACAAGCAGAGATGTGAGGGCAAGCATGCTGCGGACATTGGGCTATATGTTCCTCCTTCCTCCTTTCTATTTCCTACCCTCACCCTCCTTTCCTTCTTTCCTTCCTTCCTTCCTCCATACCTCCTCTCTTCTTTCCTTCTTTTCTTCCTTCCTTATTCCCTTTCTCCTTCTTTTCTCCCTCCCTTCCTTTTGTCCCTTCTCCTTTCCTTCCTTCCTTCCTCCCTTTCTTCCACTCTCTCTCCTTCCTTTCCTTCTTTTCCCTCCCTTCCCTTCTCCCTCCCTCCCTCCTTCCCTCCTTCCCTCCTTCCCTCCTTCCCTCCTTCCCTCTCTCCTTCCTTCTTTTTCCCTCTCTCCCTCCTTCCTTTCTTCCTTTCAAAGTTTATTCTGCAAATATTCACTGTGCACTCACTCTCTGCTAGGCACGCTGCCTGACTCTGGAGATGCAATGGGAATGAAACAGACGTGGACCTTGGCCTTGATCTTGTGAAGCAGCAGGGAAGATGGGACTTAAGCAATAATATAAATTAATTCATTCCAGTCGGAGGACAGGTAGTGAATAGCAAGAACTGTTGGACTTGAGTTGGAATCTGAGCTCTGCATTTTACCTAGCTGGGTTGCCCCCAGTCGGTTACCTAATCTCTCTGTGTCTTGCTTTCCTCATCTGGGGATTAATGTCTATCTTTCAGGGTGGCTGTGAGAGTTAAAGCAAGCTGTGCATCTACAGAATGGGGCACTGAGCCGGGCACAGGGGATGCGCTGTGACAGCAGCTGTCTTCATCGTTGCTGCTGTTGTTTCTGCTGCTGGATCCCGGCTGCCCTTGACCCGGAAGGTCCCACCTGCATGACCATCTTATCTGTGAGAGGAGGTGGCTTCATTCACCCTTCTCTAACTCTCTGAATTATAATCCATCTTTAATGCCTCTAGAGGAAGGAGCTTTGAACAGAAACCAGCTCCAGCCACTCACTGCTGTCCACCCAGCGAATGCTTGCCTTTCAAAGGCGTGACGGGGCCGCCAAATCCGCCCCAGGGACCTAACGTGATTGTCTCGCTTCTGTAACTCTGCTGGGAAGCTGGGCTTGGCATTTCTGGCTGGGTTTCCAGAGGCTCTCAGGGCTGGTGGGGAGCCACAAGAGAGGCTTATGGGAGACCATCAGGTGGAGGAACCTAGCCTGGGAGGGACAGAGTCAGGGCGGAGGAGCCCATGTCCAGCTGAGCACCATGATGTGCTTGGCAAGATTCCCTCTTCTGCTTGGCCCATGAAAAGACCCTTCCCCAGTGTTTATGGGGGTCAGGTAGACATAGTCACCTGTGATGACAAGAACATCGTGTGGGGAGCCCCAATACCCAAGGTAAAGTCTCCACTGAGTAAGTGCCCTTAGGACTAACACAATCTGTGTCTCAGCTTTTCACATCTATAAAATGTGTGTCTCTTTTATGAAGCAGCATAGCTCTTTGGTGTTTAAGAGCTACAGCTCTGGATCCATCTGTGTGACCTTGGGTCAGTTGCTTACCCTCTCTGTGCCTCAGGCTCTGAGATGATAAAACCTGGAGAGTAATAGTATCTGATTCTGTTGCCTACTACCTGGATGACCTCAGGCAAGTTGCTCCACCTCTCTGAACCTCAGTTTCCTCCTTGTGAACTGGGAGCAATGAGAATGCTTACTTCATAGGGCTGTTGTGAGTGTTGAATAGGATGACCCATGCTGAGTGCTCCAAACCACACTTGGCGTGGAATAATCATGTTAGCATTGATCGAACACCTGCTGTTTTCTTCTCCTTCATTCTTCCTTTTCTCCATCTTTTCTTGTTTCTCTCCCTCCTGCCACTTTCCCTCACTCCACAACTGCATGCTGGACACCTGCCATGAGTCAGGAACTTTTCTAGGCACTGCCCATCTTCAGGATGACTTTCAGAACCAAATGTGCCTAATGGGGAAGTGCTTTGGCACTATCGAGGCTAATCTGTCATGGAAGAGAAGAGGTGATAAATTCACACTGTGGCTTGTGGCGACTTCTTTTTATGCTCACTCTCATCTAGGGTCATTAATTTAGAGCCTTGACTAGGATTTCTATCCTATGCAGCTGCCGTGACATTAATTTGATATTCAGTAACCTCAGTTACTTGTGTGTCACCGTCATAATGATTATTTGCCACAGCTGCATACCACATACAACCATGCCTTAATATTTTAAGTCACTCTTTTTAAGAAACTCAAACTGAATTTTAACCTCAGCCATACTATCCACAAAAGCAAAAGTCCTGGTGAGCTGGCACACACGAAGCACTAACTATTAAAGAAAAATTTAAAAGTTCATAGATGACCCCGAAGCATCTTCATTTGTGCCATATTATATCAGTAAGTGGCTATACCAGACACTATCCTCTCAGCATTCAGCTAACTAGAAAATCCTCTGATTCATTGCTTCGTATTTATCAA